AATAGGTAGACGGGCCCGGGGCAGGGGCGGAACTTGCCCCCCCTGGACGAAAAAAAGTGACTTCTGCCCCACCCTACAAGAAGAAAATTGCATTTTGCTCCCCTTCCTTCCTAGAGTTACAAAATTTTTGCGGAATTTTTAATATTGCAGTATAATTTGAAACACGACCAACAGCCTTTATTAACATAACACATACATTTTTAATGATTTATGAATTTAGAAAACAAAATAAAGTGTGTCTGGTTATGTAAAGCCTTTTTCACTGTGGCAGTCGATGTGTTGTATCAACGCATAATTTCATCCCGCGTATATCGGGAAAGTTCAGTCGCTTTCAGCTTAACATTATCCCGCACCTATTGGCTATCTGCGGGACCCTATATGCATTCTAGGTATTACATGCGCTCGCGATCCCCCAGCGAAATCGCTCAATTTCATTTCACACGGATATTTTCGGGATGTAGACCGATCGCGCAGCGAATTCGTTATTCGGCTCCATTCGACCGTAGAAAAACGATAAATAATTCCGCGGATATTATTCGAATCTTTCGACCAGGCTTCCCGAAATGCTGGTGCTACTTCCGGCTACCATAAAAATTATCCTACCGGGAGACGGACGAACAGGGGAGGGATGAGAGATATAAAAGGCCGGCTTTCCAGTCGTCGTACATTGTATATAAAAATGTATACAAAAATATACAGTTCCATTAAAAGAAATTCGGGTCAGGAAGAGACCATCATTTCGTGAAATTAAAGGAATTTTTGAGCGGCAAACGCACGCAGACCGATGGCGACGTTTACCAAACTGTTACCGACTGATTAAAAAAAACAGCTTGTCCTCCGATTTAAAAAATACTTGGATGTCAATGGGCATTACATTGAGAAATTGTTTAAGATGCACTTTCATTGTAAAAATAAGAATTTTGTGGTAAAATAAATTGTTAGCAGTTTGTAATAAATCGGTTCTTACTTTAAAAATGGCCCTTTTAAAAAAATCGAAGTGTGGGATCTACATATTTGTTTTATCTTAAATGATTAAAAAACGGTTTAAGATGTATTTCAATAAAAACAAGGATTCTCGGGTGCAATAAATTGTTACTAGTTTATGACAAAATGATTGTTACGTAAACTCTTGGAGTACGGACGTTTTTTATGTTTTTTTAGAGATATTGATATCTGGGTCTGATTCTGTTTAAACATACTTTCAAATGCAATCATTAAAAAAGCACCTGATTTTTCCATACAACTAACTATGAACAGCTTAAATTATATTTACAAATCGATGAATTAGATACGGCTTTTAAACAGTCTGATCCAAATACATTCGTAAACCTACTCCAAAAGGATTAAAAATGACTCGTATTTTTGTTCATTGATTCACACATTCTGCGTCGAGCCGATTCCATTTTCAATGTTGATACATTTTCCCAAGTCTGACGCGTTCGCATTAATATGCAATTTGATCGTTGTCGCTCGTTCTCTATATTGCAAAAAAAAAAAAAAAAAAAAAATACTTAACCATCGCCATATCCGCCACAGTATCAGCGACCGCTGATGCGGCGACTCCCGGCGATCTCGGTTTAATCAGCGTACCTGGCCTCCGGGGTTACACCGGCCGCGATTCAATCGAATTCCGGCTGGATATTTCAATATCGGACGATTGAATTTTTCGAGTGGGAGAGGAGAGCCCTGGCTCCCGTTGCCGGTGCCCGCGCGGACCGCGGCCGATGTGTGTTAAGCTCTTAAAAAAGTGATATCGTCGCTGCGCCAGCGATGCTCCGGGGATGGACAGCTTCGGGGGACAACGGCGAAACAATTAAAACAAAATTTCATTCCCCGCGATCGATACGCGGGCTATTAAATATTCTGGCCGGTCTTCGTTTTTAGGAGAAATCGCGGCCTTCTCCATATTTCCATGGAGGCATCGCGATGAAAAAACCTAAGAAATCGAAAATAATTGTAAAAATGGAGCGGTTAGTTGTGTTTTCGATTTTGAGCGATTATTGTGTGCGATTTATAGAATGTGCGATAGAATTTAGTTAATAATTAAGGTATTGAGGTAAGCAAAGGCCTAATTTTTATGATTCTTTTAGTTCATCTTTTATGTTTTGTTCCATTTATTTATTTTTTTGATTATTATTTGAATTAGTGTGAAGATAAAGAATAAATTAAATGTATTAAATAAATCATTTCATTTGTTCTGGTTCGCTGAAAAATTGTGTAACTTTTGGTTGGTAGGCAGCATGTTTTTTTAACAATTCAAAAAATACAGCCTAACCACAAACAGTTTTTGAGGCAGAATAGTTTTGTTATAGAAAATAAGCAGATGAATTATAATAACTTCAAATATGTATAATCAATGATGCACTTTCTTCTTTTAAACTTATGGCTTCTGTTCTATGAATGTTTAAAATGTAATGTGCAATGGTAAAAGCATATTATTTGAAAGACTATTGGTGCTGATATACTAATAGAAACTTCCATAATACAATCTATTGATAAAAATTTAGTTAATACTATTGTGTCTTCAGAAAGGAGACCTCCAGAAAGAATTTGTTACCTTTGTGTACCACAGCGTCATCAATATCTCAAGCATTTTGTAGTTCCATCCATTTTCTCTTCATTAACACGTTGACTGCCACAGTGAAAAAGGCCGTACGTAGCCAGACACACTTTATTTCGGTTTTTAAGTCATAAATTGTCGAAAATATTTGAGTTTAGTTAATAGAGGCTGTAGGTCTTGTTTTAAATTATACTGTGATATTAATTTCATGCAAACATTTTATAACAGTGTTTAAATAATCCAGACACTTTTCAATGTACGTGTCACCCATATTTGGGTGACGTGGCAGTCAAAGTGTTAATTCGTCGAACGAGATCTTTAACCCTTCTAGCCTCAAAATAACGATCTACCGTTTAGTCAGTTGTCATGAAATTCTAATTGAATAAACAACCAACAACCAACTTATTATGGAATTTCAAAGATTTCAGTGCTTTCGTTATAAAAATCCTCTGAGCCTTTTAGCTCCATAAAAAAAACGTTGATCCCAAAAATAGTTAAACAATCGATCAATTCCGAAGGCGAATGACGAGACCATCGTAATCAGTGAGCAGTTTCCGTTCGTGATGGGTTGTTTGTTTGGAATTCGCGGGGCTTTCAAGATCCCTCGGATGACGTTTCAGCTCATGGCAATTCTCCCGTTCTCAGCCGTCATTTCAACCGTCACGATCCGCGACACGTCACAAAACAAATCTTTCTCGCGAAACGAGCGACGGGTGTCGCTTTCGCAAGCCTCCTGGTAATTACGTCTCAACACCTGACAGTTATTACGATCCTGTCCCGATTCCTCGCGTCCCACAGCCCCGTAACAGTCCGCGGCTATTAACGTGCAACACATCGTATTAACACATGTATGTACCATACGTCGACGGGAAACTGTTGGGTTAATAATCATTGTTATTTGACGAGCTTCCATCGCAGCTACTCGCGGACGCGTCGAAGATGAAAGGGGTTAATGAAGGCAGTCGCGAACGAGACGGGGCGAGGCTTTAAAGCGGGTGTAATTAATTTATTCAGTCTGGAGGAATAATAGGGACGCATCGCTGAACTTCCTTAGGGTGGTAGAATAGAAATCGATCGATCGGCGATGGCTCCAAGGGCCGATTTATCCCGCGGATGTCTGCCATGTTTATTTATATCAAATTTATGGAGTCGCGTTACGTATCGTCGATCCTATTCAGCTGGAAATATTTAGCATGTAAATGTCTGAAGTTTACCTTTATAAAGAAGTCTTTCTTTTTTCAAATTGATATTCATTGGAATGTTTAATTCATTCCTACTAACTTTCCAGACGACTTAATAACAGGATTTACTGAGCGGGTGTACCCTTTGGTCTGATGATAATGTTTTATAAACATGTAAAATTTACCTTCGTAGTAAGAAAATGCAAAGTGGTCGTTTTATGGGCAGATGACGGCTTAGTAAATTTTTATTATCCCAGAGTTGAGTCGAGCAGATATTAATTCGTTGAAAATTGTTAAGTACGTTTCTCCATGAATTAGGTAATTAATAATGTCATAGACATCTGTCCTCTTTGGTTATTCTAAAACATTCTGATTATTTTTATCTAAAGCTTTATCATACACACCAATACAATTTTATTTAGTTTCATTCCTAACATAAAGGTGTTACTACAAATTCTACTCCAGTCTATTAGCAAATCCACTAGGAATATTTAAAGACTGTACATTGAACCCAATCCATAGAAATCATATCAATGATCCTTCTCCATTTCATTATAGCAACATTACAACTTATCTTCAACACAGAACACCCTCTCAAATTCATTCCAAACCTCCATCACGCAGGCAATAACACTAGAAGCCTTTCACTGAATCAACCATTCGCTAACAGCAATACTTATCCCCGGTATATCTCCCACTTTTTAAATCCCCGTATTCGCTTTCATCCTCCCTGCACGAGGATCCCCAATTAGCCTCCGCATTAGCACCCTGTCCATTGTTCCCATGTAACAGCGCATCTGGGAACAAACAACACATTTGTATATCCAGCTTATCCAGCCCACCATTACCAGGACACCTTAATGCAAACATACAATTTCCAACGATTGTTAACGATAACTCGCCTTTCACAATCACGACGATGGCCTCGAGATACTCAGCCTGCTAACGCGTGACATCCGATTCCAGCGTTGCTATTCAGGCGTGGGTGTCGTTTCAAATTCAAATTGGTCGACGTTAAGAGATCTACCCCACCTGACTTCGTCGTTCACGCCTAATCGGCGTGTTCATCGTGCTTTCAGAATTCTTGGCATGCGTAGGCCGAAGGAGGAAGCCGGGGGCGAGCTGAACAGGACCGAGGAGGACGATGGCGTAGCGTTCGTTTCGGGGGTAGCTCCCAGATCAAAGGACGCGAAAGAGGAGGGTCTGCCCGCTCTCGAGCGATTCGAGGGCCGGTGAGCATCGCGACGGGGCAAGCAACCCCGTTGCCTCGGCCAACGTCTAACAACCCTCCCGTCTGCCACCGTCGACGAACAACAGAACAGGTAGGAATGCGCTGTCTGTCTCTGTCTATTTCTCTCTTGTCCCCTCAAAAGAACCTTTCTCGCGCCGTGACGCATTAAACCCCCCTTCACGGACACGTGGAGCTCGGATGGGTCAGGCACGAGCCCGAGGATAATTGGGGTTGTTTCGTGCACCTGTTAATGGGATTTACCTTGCAAACGGGATTGCAGAGTTTCTGCTGCGGTTCAGTTGAAGGACTGTTGTTCGTGATCGTTATAGCCGTGGGTTATATCGAGCTGTGTGGGTATAGTTTTACGGGTGTTCGGTGATGTATAGGGTTGGTATTTAGTGTAGAAATTTAACGGACGGGATAGATGCTTCTTGGAGTTTAGATGTTCAGGTATTGAGAATGGTATTTGGGGACTAGTGATTTGGAAATCTGGGTGTCTGTGTGTTCAGAAATTAAGAAGGAGGGAGTATAGAGGATCTAGGCTTCTGGGGTTCTAGAATTCCTCTGCACTAGTTGTGTACACTGAAAATCTTGGGGTTTAAAGGTCTAGCATAACAGATATCTACAAGGATGAGTTTGGGGCATATACATTTCGGAGTTCAGGTATTGAGGAAAAAATATGTAGGAATTTAGCTAAATAAGATATTAGGAGTGTTTGTATTCAGCTATCGAGAAAGTACGACTACAGGTATCTATGAATCTAGACAAGGTATAGTAATGAAATTTTAAATAGTAGGTAATCGTTGTGTACTTTTAGTATTCAATAACTGATCGGCCGAAAGTTTCAATGTTAACAGAATTGACTTTCCCATAAAAATTCGCATTGACTATTAATTTGTAAATACGAGCACTAAAGTGATATTTAATTATAAGCCCTTTACCGGCCATTTGACCATTTTATCGTAACCAAGTGACCATATACAAACAAATTGGACATATTAATTACACTATAGGATGTCGCAGTTTATTCGGAACGATCGATACTCGACGATCATGTAACTTCATTACGTTTGTATAGTAATATAAGCGGCTTATATCGTTCAGATTTAATCCAAACGCATCCGCGAATTTCCACGGAAATCCGTGCACAATATATTTTCAGCGAAGCGTGATTTGTGCGCCCTGTACCGGTGACAAAGGAGTCCTCTCTTTATTAAATATAGCTTCGTGCCCGGATTAGATATCTTTCTGTCAGGAAGAAACAGTTATTTTCAATTCCTGGGAACAAGATTCTCGGAATTTCCAATTATTCGTTTCACGCATCGTTCAATTTCTAACTTAAAATACTAGGAACTTATTAGGCTCTCGGGTAATAATTTTTATTTTTCGTTCAAGATAGAGTCAGTATGGACCTACCTCTCATTAAGTATTTGCCCATTTGCATTAGTTTCACTTCACTTAAAAATGTGTTTTCTCTTCATTTTATTGTTAATTTTCAAACTGAAATTTAGAATGAAAATAAATAAATCCTTCTATGGTGGGGTAAATACTTATGAGAGGTAGTGACTATATTCTAACACTAATTTAATTATAATTATAGTAATTTATAGATGATAAATGTTCACTATTTATTTTCGAAAGATTCTTATAAATATACTGTCATCCAAATATTGGGGTGGAAGGTAGCAATCTTTATTCGTGAATTTAATGTTTATTAAGGTTACGTTGCTTACAAAGATTGCAACGTTTATTAAACGACATGATATTTATTCCATTTCCGTTTCACGTTCCTCGGAATTTCGGGTTACATGCACGGATGCACGTGTTTCCTGAGGATTTGAAGAATTCGAGGGTCCCGTGGCCCATGGAAATGGCACGCCCTCAAGTACAGGGTTCGCGGTTTAGAGAGTGAATTTCGTGGTTTAGCATGTCGACCTGACATACCGCCATGGAACGTTTGGCGACGTGGAGACCGCAATTGCGGCTGTGTCATCCTAACACCCTCAGCAAAAGCCACGTTATCTATGCGGTAATAAGGGAACCAACCGTCAACCGGGGGAAAATATGGCTGGATTACATTGTGAGCTTCTGGATTGTTAAGAGTGTAAGGAAGTACGGTAGAACTTCGATACTTGTAGAACAAGTTGAATTTTATCAAGAAAGCTATTCCTTAAAACGTTAATCTGTAATTACCATTGTTTATATTTTTGAGAATTAAAACTACAGGAACGTATCTTCAAGTGAAAACGTAGCATTAGATTTGCGGATGTCTATTCTCAAGTGAACACGTAGCATTACGTTCGTGTCGAAGTTAGAGTAAAGTAGCAATCTACATCAGTAGATATCTACAATATTCACGCTTGAAATGAAAGTTCATTCAAAGAAAATTGAACTTTCATTTCAAGCGTGAATATTGTTTTTAATTAACTTTTTTCAAGTTTATATTGGTTTGGTCCAACTTTTTTCAGTTGATTGTATTACTTGCGACGAGTGATATGTAATTTTTTAAAGGTACACAACAATGTCCTGTAAATTTAATCCTACTGTTTTCCTTCGGTATATATAACCCTAAATGAAGATTAAATTTTAATAGGTATTAAGTTTTTAAATATTTGTTTTTAGTATCCAACGTATTTCAATTTTACCTCTACTTTTTCTGTATTTCTCATTTTTTAAAGAACAAGTCGTTTTAATTGTTCAGTAATGAAAACGAACCTAGGTTTTTTAATATCGAAGAGGGTGGAATCAATGGGGATGAGGGTTCCGCTGCCAGGTGATCGAGATGCAGCTGCAACCTTCATACGGACTATATTAAATTTTCGGTAATAGGGGCATTAATATGATAATTGACGTAGTATGTAAATGCAGGGGTGACGTTCTACCTGGGGAAAAAGGGGAAAAAAGGTGTGTGGGGAAGAGAGGGTGAAAGGGGATAGGGTCAGGAGCACCAGTCGGTAGAGATCGTTAGGAAGTTACTAATTCTCGAGTGCAGATTTCATTAAGCGGCTCGTTTAAAATGTAATGCCTCTCGAGATCCGCGTATTACGACCCCCGGAAACCACTTGTTCCCTGAAATCCGTCGGTCAATCCTTGGAACACAATGCGCTCGTTGAAGAATCCTTTAGACCCGGTGGGATGTGTACGTTTTTCTTTCTAATCCTGACCGTAAAGTGTTCAGAGGGGAACATAGCAACAGAAATTTATGAGTCACTACGTTGAATAATCATTTGATAGGAGTCTGGACAATATAATTCGAATTCCTGTATTATTAATATATTCGGAAGCACTGCCATCTTCGATTATTCCTTCAACCTCACAGCAGCGATTCGATTAAATCGTATACACCCCTAGTATTATGTGTATATTCGGGGAACAGAGTGGGGCGATTCATTTGCATTTATAATGCCCGTGGTCCGGATTGCGCTCTAGAGAGCGATAAACATTACATAATAAATAGAGCAACATAATGGGGGAGTCGTAATTGGTCGTTGTGTATGACTAATTTGCCTCGCGTATATATGATCGCCTGTTGTTAATTAAAATTTTAAATCTGTTAAATATATTCACGACAGATGGAAAATTGAAAATGATTATTTCCGTGATTCTTCCGTCTGTAACCTATTTTATATGAACTTTGCTTCCTGGAATTCTGTGAAATAATCGCGTGGGTTCGCTCGATATTTTAAGGCTCGCGTTCGCCGATAAGAACGGAACAAGCTTTTCTATTAACTTAATGTATGCAAAAGTGAAGGCAGTATTCGAGAATGTTAAAATCACACCTGATACCGCACTATTGTTCGTCTGAAAATTACATTACGTTGCTGTACATGCTGTGACACTTTACAATAATTAGATTGCGGGATTTAAATCATAAGGAAAAAATGATTGCTCCATTTTTATATAATTCAATTCTTGAATGCATTCAGTAATTTTCTATTTCACTACGGTTTTAACAAATTTATCTATATAAATGCAGATTTACTGCAGTGTAGTGATTATTAAACCACAAATTTTTTGCACTGGTAGGTTGAATGAAATTTTTATTTCATTTTTAACAAGAGGCCCCTGGTAGAAGAAAATTTTATAGAAAATATAAAATAGTTTAGGAAATTCTAAATTTGCATAAATATCCAAAGTGTGGTAATTAAGTCGTATATTTGTATATTATTGATTCTGTACGGGTTCTGTATACAATCTTTGAGTATAGTACTAAAGGCGATTAAGAACAATTTTGGTACAGTACTCACTTTAATGAAGAAATTAACAGACAGGATTCACGGGGTACGCCAATATTAATCAGGAAACAATGCATCCAGTATTTTAAGCTCATTATGTAATGCGACGTAGTTATTCTGCAAACGATCCGGGTTCGCTTTTATAAACGAATTACAATCGACGTTAATTACGTGGATGGAAGAAGTGACTCGCTTTAAAGTCAAAGCTTTCTTTTCCGGGACGAGATAGAAATAATCCCGGGGAGATTACACGTTCATCGTGCTAATATTTATCGACTTTCTGAATTTAACTAATGAACGGAAGCACTGGCGAATAATGACGCTAGCGTAATTCGAGTTTGAGCGGAATCTTCGAAATACTTAGAAAAAACTATAACGAAAATAATAATGAAATTTAAAAATTTAATTTTTCTTCGGTAAATAATTCTATAATTAAATTTATTCATCAATTTCCACAAGAAAAATTATCTCTCGAGTTTCCTGTCCCACATGTACGAACTCCTCGACGATAACGTACCGTCGATTAACTTAATTTCGAAAACATGATCAACGATATTTTCCTGGTGAACTAGGTTACACATACCGCCGCTACTAAAAAAATGATTTAATCGATTGTTCGGACGATAAAAATAAAGGGACCCTCAACCTTCGCCTTTAGCGAAATTTCATTGGTAATTTAATCGACCGTGATGTTTTCTAAACGCTCCTTGTATTATAAACGTGTTTAGCTAGTTGAAAGGGGTTGGATGAAAAGGTATCTGGGTTCACCCCTTCATCGATGTGACACTACAACAATTCAAGGATTTCTTAACCCTTGCGCAGTGTTTGGGTTGATATGACCGCTAATTTTTAATTA